AAAATCATGGTGTTTAAAAATCTTTACCAGATAATTCTATTACCCTTATCATCTTAGTGTTCGCATCAATTGATTGGCTCCTCATTACTGCTGGATGGGAATGGGAGTTCTGGATCCCATGTGGTCTCCATTGATGTGGGGCTTATAACCACTGGTAGTGATGAGAGTCCTGACTAGGCTGCCTCAGATACCCCAGTGGAGAAGGGGAAGATTATCTAGTTATTTCTAGGAGGGGGCAGATGTCCAGGCTTCCCATGTAGTCCTTACTGATATTGCCAGGGAAGGTAGCTCACCAGCTATCTCAGATGAAAGTCTCATCTCTCCCCTTGGGTCTTCTCTGACATCACTCTGGCAAGGGTGTTGGAGTTTCTTGCTATAGTGTCTTAAGGGTGAAAGTCTAGGCTATCTACTCAGGCTTTGCTGGTATGGGTGTGGGTGTGGATGAGGCCATGGGTTTTTTGTTTTTTAAAATGATGTTTGGCTGAAGTAGAGTGGCTATTGTCCAAGAGTTTTCTGTCGTGCTAGAACACTCCTTTCCTGGTCCTCTGGCTAGAGAGAACAGGCATGTTTTGGGAGTCTGTTTTTTGTGCACCAGTTGTGTTGGGTTTCTGGGTTGCTGGCTTCTTCAGCTACTTTATCTCCTTGGTTTTTGGTGTGCATCATCCTTTACCTGGGCTACTGAGTTAGACCCCCCAATAAGTCTTTCAGACCATCTCTGGCTTCTCCAACACATCCTCCACACTTCTGCCAGTGTTTTCTTCCTACAAAGCAGAACTGACCATGTCATTCTCCTGTTAATATTATTTACTGTCCATAAAATAAAGCTCAACTTCTGCAAGGCACTGCAGATCTACCAAAATGCAATTCCAACTTTGCCTTTGCAGCTTTGACTTCTGTTCAGTTTCTCTGCCTATCCCTTTGCTCCCATGCTAAAGATGCGCCATGTACTTTAGCTCCTGCTCTTCCCTCTGTCTCCAGTGCTTTTCTTTACTCTAACAAAGTTAAGAGCACTGGAGTTGGACTGTTTAAATTTGAACTTCATCATTTTCTAGCTAGGTGATCTTGGGCAACTTTACCTCTCCATAGCTCAGTTTTCCCATCTGAAAAATGAGGATAATAGCATCTACCTCATGGGACTGTTATGAAACTTAAATTAAATAGCACTTTGCAAATTGTCGGGTTGAAGAGAAAGGTCTCAATAAATGTGAGCTATTAGTATAATTCATTATTAAATTAATACTCAGTAGTTAAATTAATATGCAGTAGCTCAACATTCAATTTGAATGTTACCTCTCTATGAAGTCTTTATGGGTCCTCTGCATTGCTACCTTATTATTGAAATTAATTATTCTTTTCCCAACTGTCCACTTAATTTACATTGCATTTATACTTGATTCTGTTTGTAGTGTAGGTAGGTAGATTGCTGACCACATTTGCTCATTTCTGGACTTAGTCATTCAAAGGAAGCCCTGTGAGTCAATCACTGGGCATGGAGGTGAGTAACATGTGGACCTTCAGAGAATTCTCAGTTCCTTAATAGCTGCAGATTGCTTGCTAAATAAATGGTTCTAGTGGGGCTTAATAAATATTTATTGATTTAAGACAAGCAAGCTCTGCCTTGGGATAGGAAGGTAGGCAGCCTCCAGGTTAACAGCATCACAGTGTGTTAAAGTTAGAAACTTTTTGTGAACCACCCTCGGTACTGACCTCTGCATAGTGCTAAGTGAAGGCCTCGGGCTCTGTGTTAGAGCCCTGCTGTAACAGCATTGGTATTCCTGTGGTCTGTGGCCACCACCAAGTGAGTCTTGTCGAGGACCATATCATTTCTTAACCCTAGTTCTCTTAGGTTCAAATAAAGACAAAGATTTTTCTTGAGGTCTCAGGAGTTATATCAGTGTCATTGAGGACATTGTTCATTCTGCTTTAAGGCCCATGTCTGACAATCTTAGCCCCACACACCTTGACTCCCATCACTGAGACAGAAATTTGTTTTAATGCATTTATGTGCTGGGAATTGTGTTAGCTACCACAAATGCAGAAGGATGGGACACAAGAGCCCCCTCGACATCCAGGAGCTCATAGTCTCCATGCTGGAGCAATCATTAGAAGCACAGACTTGATTGTTTCACTGTGGCCACCTTACCAACAATGCTTTGGTAGATAGGCTGGATATGAAGCCAGATATTTTAGGCCAAGGATGGACTGATGGAAGAAATGGAAAGAGGAAATATAACCTCCTATGAAGATGTATGTCTGTGAAGGGAAGTAGAATGGGTGATAAGAAACTACAGCAGAGGCTGAGCAAAGGGAAGATTGTTTAAAGGTGGGGGAAATTACTTAAGTTTATAGTAGATAAAAAGAGATAAGGGCAGTAGATCAAAAGATAGATTGAGAGAGTGATTGGGAAAGAATGAGCAAGTATTTGAGAAAAAACAATAGATATTCATATACACATACATATATACATGCATGCATACATACATATACACATTGTATATTTATATATGTATGTATATAAGTATAGAATGTATATATGTATGTGTGTTTATATATATGTATTTATATATGGGGCAAGAAGGAAGAGAATTATACAAATATATGTAATCACTCTATACATCTTATCTATTTATCTACCTGTCTATCTATCAATCCATCTATCTGCCTACCCATTTATATAGAGAGATGGAGATCAGCCAGAAAAGGGAAAGTCAAAGAAGAATCATTCATTAATGGAACCATGTCCTGTAGGAAGAAGGAGGAAATAATTTGAAAGCACAGGTGAAAACTCCTTAGAGACAGAAGGAAGGAAGGTCAGAATGAGATGGAAGGGAGGAAAGTTAGAGTTCATGTAGGGTGCCCTCTATTTCTCTGGAAAGCTGAGATGATTGAATGAGAAGATTGAAGAATGAGAAAGTGAGAAAGTAAGATGTCAGGGACATACATTCTGGCTTTCCTCGCAGCACTGGGGGCCTCAATTGATTTTGTAAATTCAGCATTTGCAATGCTGCAAATATGAATGATTATACTTTTTCAGAAGCACTAGCCTGTAGGGAGGAGAGAAGGCAGGTGAGGGTTGGAGTGCTTTGGAAGTTAGGCCTGAGGTTGAGGGCAGCAGAAGGGTTCTGGTGAGAGTGGCATGTAGTGTAGTTGTAGTAGCCAGGCTGTGCAGAGAAAAGATGAATCTAAGATGAGAGTGATAAACTGAGTAAGCAGGGAAGGAATGACAAGATAGAAGCCTCAGAGAGCTTGGGGAGCACGTTTACTTTGATTCAGGTATGGAGAGTGCATAGCAGTATTCTCACACTGCTAATAAAGATATACCCGTGACTGGGTAATTTATAAAGGAAAGAGGTTTAATCGACTCACAGTTTTGTGTGGATGGGGAGGCCTTAGGAAACTTACAATCATGGAGAAGTACTGAGCAAAAGGGGGAAACACCCCTTATAAAACCAACAGATCTCGTGAGAACTCACTCACTACTAGGAGAAAAAAAGCATGGGGGTAACTGCCCCATGATTCAATTACCCCCCCCCCCCCCCACTGGGTCCCTCCTACAACACTTGGGGATTGTGGGAACTATATTTCAAGATGAGATTTCAGTGAGGACACAGCCAAACCACATCAGAGAGGTAGGATAGAGGTTCTGATTGGAGAGTGAGATTTCTCAGTGTGAGCCATTTAAGCAGCAAACAGTCCCTGAGCACTAGCTCTGTGAACTTATTGTAGGAAACTCTGAGAACAAAGGTAAGAATTAAGGCATGGTCCCTGCCCTTAAGGAGTTCACAGCCCAGTATTCAGAGGTAAAACCTTTCCAGGTGATGACAAGGTCCAGGATATGTCTCTGGAAATGATTCCTTGTGATGGTTGGGAGGGGAAGATTGATGGGGCAATGGAAACCAAATGGCTGGCAGGCTGGCATGTTAGATGTATCATCCCCAGGTGCTTATCTGCCCTACAAAGAAAATGGGGGTTTCTCTCAGCTCAGTTATTTCTCTGGGGCCATGTGTATCCTCTCCGCAGCTGGTGATATGAGGACTGTTTTTCCATTTGAGCTTTTGCTCTTCAGACAACATGTGACTGTCCTAGGGTCAGTGCCTGATGGTTTTCACAAGTGTAGAGTGGAAGGTCAATGGGCTTCAAAGACCTACTTCTGCACTTTGGTACATGAATCTGTAAACAGTTACCGATCCCATGCTTCCAGTTTTCTTTTCTTTCTCGCCCCTATTTTCTTGACCTGTAAAATTAACATAGGATGGTGCCACCAATCCTTTTTGGGGAAGAAGCAGCTGAGATGTGTCTCTATAAAGTCATCAATAAGCAGAAGTCGGAAGCTGCAGTAGTTGGCAGGGTGCGATGATAATGAATGAATGAGTGTGCACACGTGAAGTGGGGACAGCTCAGTGCTCAGAGCTCCATGAATGATTTCATTCTTCCTGAAAGCTTCTAAGGGTAGCTGGACACAGAGAGGAGATTTCCTACCTGGGCTGAGTAGAGGCCTTGACACTTCAGCATGGAAGGCACAGGGCGTAGGAATCTACATATCAGCATTTCCAGGATTCTAGTGCCTACAGAGCTGTGTGAGACTTCATTTCATGGTCCATCTGGGCATTGCTAGAAGGGAACAGAATTCCCTCCCTTCCTGTTCCAGAGAGGCTAGCCTGCAAACTTCACTGATGAGAGGCCAGATTAGCACATCCCACACTAGCTGTTTTGTGAATTTTGGCTGACAGGAGTGGAGAGGAAGCATGTTTCTTTGATCTTTTACCTCTTGCATCCTTTCTGCTATGACCTTGGGAGATTGGTTTATCTGGCTGTCTAGTTCAAATTCCAGATTAACCTCTGTCAGTGGCCTTTCTCCTCTCTGGGGATGCTATTCATCCTTCCAAGGATCCAGACCCTAGCCACCAAAGCTTCTCTGCTGGGTTCACACACCAGGTCTAAGGTATGATGTGATCTCCTGGGTATGTGACGGTTTTTGTGCTGCTGCTTTTTTCTTTCAGAGTCTGAGAAGCCAACTGGGGCCAAGCAAGTTTTAGAACCTCTACTGGCTGATGCCAACATCGTCAGAGATGAACTGTTCTTACCAGAAACTTCTCTGCTCCTGACAGCACACCTCTCCCCAGGTAGCTAAAGGGACAATGAGATTATCACCCCCTGAACACTATGTAATGACACAGTCACCTGTATGGGGGTGACATACCAGGGGACACTCAGTTCCAATTGCAATATCATAGGCACAATATTAGAAGAATATCTAGACACTCTTATAGGCAAAGAAAGGCATTTGGAAGATTCATGGGGGTCTTTCCTTTGCTTAAATCATGAATTTTTATTAAATTTTACACAAATGCATTTTTCCATCTATTCATATGATCTTTTTCCTGTTAATCTATAAATATGATAGATTACACTTATTTACAATCCGATTTTAAAAAATAAGTGCAATAACATCTCTTACTTAAAATTAAGCCATATTCATATTGTGATATGAATTAGAATTTTATTGACTTCAAATTTAATACCACTAAAAGGTAACTCTGCCATCATTCTTATTAACTTAAAACCAAAATTTGATTGCAAGATTCTTTAAATAAAGTAACCTTCAAAATTCACTGTTTTACCTCACCAACACAATTTTTAAATTGTGGTAAAATACATATGACAAAATTCATTATCTTAAATTACTGTTAAGGCTATAGTTCATTGGCATTAAGTATATTTACATTACTGTGCAACCATCACTGTCATCCTTCCCCAGAACTCTTTTCATCTTGCAAAACAGAAACTTTGTACCCTGTATCCTGTTCAATAATTATCTTTTCCCTGTCTCTGCTCCTGACAACCGCTACTCTACTTTCTGTCTCTGAATATGACCACTGTTGGTGCTTCATACATGTGGAATCATATAATATCTGTCCTTTTTGACTGGCTTATTTCACTTAGCCTAATGTCCTCAAGTTTCATCCATGTTTATGCCTTCCTTTTTAAGGCTGTGAGTAATATTGTATTGTATGTGTGCACAACATTTTATTTATTCATCCATCTGTGGATGGACATTTGGGTTACTTCCACCTTTTGGCTGTTGTGAATAATGCAGCTCTGAACATTGGTGTACAAATTCTGTTCAAGTCTCTGCTTTAAAATCCTTTGAGTATATACCCAGAGGTGGAATTGCTGGGTCATAGGATAATTCTATTTAAACACTTTTTAAGGAATAGTCGTCCTATTTTCCACAGTGGCTGCACAATTTTACCTTCCCATCAACAGTGTACAAGTTCCAATACTTATTTTCTGATTTTTGATAGTAGTCATCCTAATGGGTATGAGATGATATTTCACTGTGGTTTTGATTTTGATTTCATTAATGCTTGGTTAGGTGGAGCATCTTTTCATGTGCCTATTGACTACTTGTGTATCTTTGGAGAAATATTGCTTCAAGTCTGTTGCCCATTTTTAAATTGAGCTCTTTGTTTTTAGTTGTTGAGTTGTAGGAGTCCTGATATTAGGAATTAGGATAGGTAGCAGTCTGGATATTAACCCTTTATCAGATATATTATTTGCAAATATTTTCTCCCATTGTGTGGGTTGCCTTTTCACTCTGTTGTACCCTGTGATGCACAGAAGTTTTTAATTTTAATAGAGTTCATTTCTTTTTTTGCTTTTGTTGCCTGTGCTTTTGTTGTCACATCCAAGAAATCATTGTCAACCCCAATGTCATGAATCTTTACCCCATATTTTCTTCTAACAGTCTTCTAAAAATTTTTTCTAAAATTTTTAGCTGTTACATTTAGGTCTTTGATACATTTTGAGTTAATTTTTTATATAGTATAAGGTAAGGGTCCAGCTTCATCCTTTTGCATGTGGACATCCAGTTTTTCCAACACTGTTTGCTGAAAAGGCAGTCTTTTCCCATTGAATGGTCTTGGCATGCTTGCAAAAATAATTTGAACATATATGTAAGGGTTTATTTTTCGATGTTCTATTCTATTCCATTATGCTACATGTCTGTTTTTATATGCTAGGCCTATGCTGTTTTGATTACTGTAGATTTATAATAGGTTTTGAAATCAGGAAGGGTGAGATGTCTAACTTTGTTAATTTTCAAGATTGTTTTGACTATTTGGGGTCCCCTGAGATTCCGTATGAATTTCAGTATGGATTTTTTTATTTCTGCAGAAAACGTCATTGAGATTTTGGGACTGCCATAAAACTTCTGAATTATTTCTCATAGGAAACATTTGCCACACAGATGAAGAGAAGGGGGGCATTTAGGCAAAAGGAAGACTGTGACCAAAAGCATGAAGAGAGGAAAGGGCTTGCTCTACTTGGGGAAACTAAAAGTAATCTAGTATTGTTGAAGCTCTAAGCTTTCTTATTATCTGTGTGTATATATGTGTGTGACTGTCAGCTTGGATAGGAGACACATTAGGAGGTAAGGAAGGGGTCAGATATTGTGAAAGTGGATGTGTATTGTGTTAAGAAGGTCAATGGAAATTCATTAGAGTTGGGTGGTGGAGTGATGTGATCCTATTTGTACTATGGAAAAATGACCCTGTTAATAAGCATGGGTGTGCTATACTGAGCAGGAAGGAGTTACCAGCAGAAAGACCAGATAGGAGACTGTTGCAAAACTCCCAGAAATAAAATGATAAGACTTGCACCCTGGTAGCATTAGTGGAGACAGGAAGGAGGGAATGGATTTGAAATAGACATGGCTCACTACACACTCAGACATGTTCCAGTAGCTTCACTCTTTTCCTGGGTCTTGAAGTCCTCAAATCTGGAGAACAGCCTCTGAACTCACCATTCACCTGTGTCATCCAGTTGTCACCTTTTAGGAACACAAATGACTGTTGAAAGAGGCACTCTGTTCTGGCTCAGAGGCTCAGGCTCAGGGGTCCCTTAACAGCAGCCAGTCTCTTTTCAAAGCCCCTGGAGCTCCCACTCCTTGTGCTGTCACTCTCAGAGCCTCTGGCTGCTCCAAGGACTTTGTGGTTGTTTCTTTGTATCTGTGAGTTGGTTGGTGTTTTCTTGTTTTGGTTTTTCCTGAGGCCTGTTGAAATCTACCAGCCTGAGAATGTTCTGTTGTAGCCCATTCTATTTACCTCGTAGAACTGCCACTCTCCAGGCCTTCTAATTGTGGCCCATGTTACATCTGTGACCCACTGAGAACCCAGGTTCATTCCCCAAGCCTGACACCCCTCTACACTCTGTGACTCAATTCCCTGCCTTCAGTTCATAGCAATGTCGAATGAGCCATTGGGTATTTTCCACCTCTCTCCCACTTCATGCTCAGGATCTCTCTGTAAAGCCTTTGCTGAGTAACTGGATAATGCTAATGCCAGGCTTGAGCTGCAGCAGCTGGGGAGTGGATGTGCTCCTCCAGCCAGAGGCTGAGCACTGAGATTCCAAGTCCCCGTTCTGATCTCTGGAGGGATGGTTCTATGGATGGGCAGTCTGGGCCACGTGTGTGTTCTACTCGCCCATCACAGTCACAGGTGGAGTCATGGAGCTAGAGGCAGGGAGCAGCTCCCGCTCCCAAATTCCTGTAGGTATTTTAGAATGGGAACCGCTTTGGCAGTTCTGGAATAGCCAGCTCTGAACCACTGCCAAAGGCACACATTTAGTGACCTGAGGGATGAGGCAAACTGATCAAGGTGCACAAGTGTCATCACTGCAGGCTCCCGGGAAAGCACAGCAGGAGAGGAGAGGGCTGTGGCTTGTAATTAAAATGCAGTGATGACTGTAATGATGATTTGAACCTGATGGGCTGTGCCTCAAAGGTGAACCAGGGAGAATGAAATAAAGAGTTCTGGAAGAGGTAAGGGGGGATTTTAGTGGGAATTAGGAAGATACGGGGAAGAGAAAGGAGAAAGATCAGGAAAATCAGGGATGTAAGGAGTTTCTACTTCCTTGAAAGCCAGGAAGCTCACTTGAACAAAGAGCACAAGACCCCAAATCTTTGTGACACCCCTGGCTTGGAGAGCTTGCTGGTCTTTCTTTAGGATCCTGGCTAGTTTTCGCGAGCATGGTTTTCACAAGCAATTGAAGGATAATTTCCATAGATCTATAGTGAAGCTATCCCGCAAATAAAGTGGGCCTGGCCAGAGAGGGTCTGTAGTTTCCAAAGCCCCAAAGGACACCTGCAAATCAGCTGTGGCAAAAATATGTCTTTAGGAGCCCAGGCTACCTGGAACACGGCCTCAGGACAGCAGAATGTGCCTTATCACTCACTTTGTGTTCCCAAACAGAAGAGAAGAAGGAGAGTGGCCACGTTGATTCAGCCAAGCACCTCCAGGAGGTCCCCTCTGGATGTCCCATGAGGCTGCCGCTCAGCCACAACCCGGAGCACGTGGAGATGGCTTTGCTCAGCAACATCCTAGCAGCCTATTCCTTTGTCTCAGGTAGGTTCCTGGTCTCCGCTGGGCCAGGACTGAGGTCTGGGACTGGGTCCAAGGTTGTCTCCTGGTTGGCCATCTCTGGCCTTATTCTCAGGAAAGACACACTACATAATCATAGCTACTGCTCGGCTATGCTGAGTTTTGAGATGAAAGGTCTCCTGGTTGGGAATTAAGCTTGTCATTCTCTAATTTGAAAAATGAAGGGTTCTAACAGAGCTTTGTCTTGCAGAAAATGTTTAGCTGCTCAAGTGAGTGATTGAAGTGGCCCGGGGCTACTGTTGACTTCTGTCACTATGCATTAACTCTGACCAAGGCGGGGGCTGATGGAGTACCTCAGCCTGATTATTCTATGCAGTTAACCGCACACAGGCTGCCTCTGTATGAGACTGTGTTTGTGGGAGAGAGAATATGTGTTTTTATGTTCTGTGTTTGGGGCCTTTCTGAGGTATTTGATGAAGCTGTAGAAGAGATGAAGACAGAAGGCATCTGGAGTATGGAAGAGTCTGATATTTGTCCCTTCGCTGGTTCAAAGTTGTACTCTAGTAAGATGGTTGATTTTCTCCTCAAGATCATTTCTTGAAAACAGATGTTGTTCATATAAAAGGAGTCATTTTAAAATACATGAAAATGCTCACTGGTTTGAATGACTAAACTGTTCCTCTGCTGCTTGAATGAGTTTTTAATTTCTTGATACTTTGCTTTTGTTTTTGTTTTGTTTTGTTTTGCCCGATGTCTCTGGATATATTGTATAAAAAGGAAGGGACTAGGGTTTCAATTAGATTTCCTTTGGGCAAGGACTGGTTTTACTTTCTAATTCTCTAGGCAGGGTTGACACATGGTGGTCTAAGAGTTGAAATGCAAACCTGACATTATGATTTACAGTGGCAAATCTGAGCCAAGTGGAGAGTTCCATAAGCCAAGGAAGTTCATGGCTTCTCTTTGTGAGAGGATCTTGGATGACGCGCAACCTGATTTCAAAAAAAAAAGGACTGCTCAGGGCCTTGTGCTGGGCGAGCTGCAGCATGTAGTCTGCTTGTGCCTCAGGTCCAGGGCTCTGCCTTCTTGGATCAGTGAAGGCCTAGGTCACCAGTCAGCTCCTCTTTCCCCTTGAGGAAGTCCAGGGCCCCCTTCTCTAGGCACTCACCCATTAGAGGAATCTCATCTTTGCTCTTGCTTCAAGGCAACATTGGAGAAAAAGGACACAAGGGCGGAAAAGAGCTTTGAAATTCAGGCATCATTTTCACAAGCAATTTAAGGATAATTTCCTTAGCTCTATAGTGAAGCTATCCCCTAAATGAATTGGGGCTCGCGGAGAGTGTCTGTAGTTTCCGAAGACCCAAAGGATACCTGTGAATCAGCTGTTGCAAAAATATGTCTCGCGTGAGAGCAAACAGAGCACTGCACTTTGGACCTCTGCTCAGCACAGGAGGTACCTGGCAATTTTCCATTTCAGTCGACATGACCCTGAATTATGACCATTGAAAGTGGTAACTCATTGAATAGTCCTGTGTTTACCAATGAGTCTTGTGATCTTGTCAAGGCTGAAAAGTACATGGCCCTGTTTTTCTCTCCCCTCCAAACTTCCTCCTTCCTGCCCCATACTCTTGAATTAAATACTACTTGGGATGCAGGAAGACAATGCTTCTTTAAGTAAGTATAGGCTGAGATAAAAAGAAAACGCAAGGAAACGGAAAAGCAGTGTGGCTAAAATAAAATTTGGATCCAGTGTGTAGACTCAATGACTGAAAATCAATTCTGAAATGGGGAACATTCCCTGATTATAAGTGAAATTAATAAACAAAATTTAAAATATGTAGGTGAATATTCAAGATACAAATAACCATTGTTTTTAGTGAAGAAAATCAAATAATTGAATTAGAAGCAATGATGAAAAGTATGATGGAAGAAAATTGTGTAAAATGTCCTAATCTTGTAGCTGTCTCATGTCCTCATTCTGCTCTACCAGATCTTCAACCCCACAGGGCCCCAGCCCCTCCTATTTTCTCCCAGTACATCTGTTGCCTCCTCTCCTATCCACGTGGTACCTTATTTCAGCAACACATTTGCTAATACACATAACTTCCATATTCCTTTATGTAGCTTCTGAGTAAACCAGTAGGTGAAACCCCAACTGAGTGAATCCTGCTCACTTTCTCTGTGTATCTGTTTGTGTGTGTGTGTGTGTGTGTGTGTGTGTGTGTTCTTTGTTAGGTGAGTGTCTAGGGTGTTTGGTAACCTTGTGGGAGAGTTGGAGACAGAAGAAGGCATGTGAGTTGGGAGAGTCTGATATTCACCCCTTTTTTGGTTCAAAGTTGTACTCTTTAGGAAGACGGCTAACTTTCTCCTCAAGATCATTTCTTGAAAACAGATACTGTTTACATAAAAGGAGCCATTTAAAATTACATGAAAATGTTCAGTGGTTTGAATGGCCAAACTGCTCCTCTGCTGGTTAAGTGAGTTTGAAAATATTTGATATTTTGTTTTTGTTTTGCCTGATGGTCTCTGGATATTACATTGAAAGAAAGGGACTGAGGTTCTGATTGGATTTCTCTTCAGGCAAGGGCTGGTTTTACTTTCAAGTTCCAATCTAGGCAGAGCTCATATTAGATGACTTAGGAAAAGTGACCCTTTCTCACTCCGCACAAGTTATCAAACACCAGTACAATTTGCCATTTGAAGCCACTAGAAATTCATAGTCTCCAATCTCAGCTGAGCTTTTCACATCATACTTTAATCTCCCTATTTATTTCTGGACACATCTTGTGCCCAATCTTCCCAACAAACATTTCAAACCTTGGCCATTCCAATAATTGTAAATATCTGCTTACTACAATGGGCCCTACAAGTAAATGACAAGTGTCAAACTAGGGGAAAATGAAACATTAATGAAGAAGAGTTAAAGTTTATAACAAATGAAGAGCTCTTACAAATCAATAAAAGTGTCCCAAAAGGAAAGTGGCCAAAAAACAAGAATCAACAGTTTGCAAAAGAAGAGATACAAATTGTCAATAAAACATGAACAGCTCAAATTCTGGCAGAAAAATACAAAATGGAAATTGCAATGAGATTAGCATTTTTATTTTATACATTTCTCAAAGACTTGACTGATTAAGTATATCATTTTAGTCTTGGAGAAAGTCTGGGGAGATGAGTACTTGCACATTGTGCTGATGGGATTGTGAATTTGCTACAACCTCTCTAAAAAATAATTTGGCAATATCCATCAAAGCCCTTAAAAACACATACGCTAGCCAGAAATCCCACTTCTGGAAGTGTCTCCTAAGGAAATAATTAGGGATATAGACAGAAATTTTACTATGAGGATGATTCATCTCAGAATTATTTATAATACATGTAGTAAAAATATTAGGGAAAATTTGTAAGTGTTAATTGAAGTAGAAAGATGTTTATGATATGCTACTAGGTAAATGAAGCCTGTTACCACACATCATATACATTATAATCCCATTTATGTATGTATATTCATATGTATAGGTAACCACATTTTACCACAAATTATAACCAGATGCCAGAATTGTGTGGGTACAGGTATATGTATTTTTAATTTTATTTTGCTTAGCTGTATTTTTATTAACAATTCATTGATATTCATAATAAGTAATGTTATTTTATTAAAATATTAAATTTTGAATTATACCATACATATATTAGACAATTATCATGCCTCTGTCTTTTCTAACTTCCTGAGCTTCTTATCTAAGTGTCCTGAAAATAGCTATTTGGTTGTGCTATAAGCATTTCAAATTCACTCCAGCCTAGAATAGAGTATTGTCCTTCTCTTTAAATATGCTATTTCTTTTATGTACCTATCTAGGGCATCACCTAATCTAGAAATAGGATTTTTAACCTTTGATGCATCTTCTTCACTGCCCATATCCAACTTGTTTTGGTCAATTCATTTTGCCTGTTAAAATGTATGGCATCCACTTTAGTCCCACCATCGTTGATTGACTGGCTCCAAGCGCCATCATGGTTTTGTCTGCCTTATCATAATGGTATTTGCCATGGTCTTGCCTCTGCAATCTTGTTTCACAGTCTGTATTTTGTAGCAAAATGATGTTTCCAAAATGCAGATGTGATGATGCAATTCTTTTTATTTTTTAGCATCCCTCAGTAGATTCTCATTATCTCTGGGATAAAATCCAAATAAGTTTGTGTGGTTTAAGAGTCAGGATTGTTTTCAACTGCAAAAAATGAAAACCTCAACTTGGTGGCCTAAATACATAGACGTTATCTTACCCACATAATAAGAAGTCTGGAGGTAGGTGGTTGCTAGCATTGGCTCATTAGCACAAACACAACGTCGAGGCCTGTCGTTTTCTTTCTCTGTTTGGCTTATTTTACTCAGTATATATATTCCAGCTTTGTCCATGTTGTCACAAGTGGCAGTATCTCCTTCTTTGTTAAGGCTGAATAATATTTCATTTTGTAAATACACCACAGTTTTTAAAATCTATTCATCCATTGATGGACGCTTTGGTTGTTTTTATATCTTGACTATTATGAATAGGGCTACAATAAGTATGGGAGTGCAGATATCTCTATAGATGCTGATTTCATTTTCTTTGGATATATACCCAGTCAGAGACAGAAATAAAAATGCTGTATGATCTCACTTACACATAAAACCTAAAAAAAAAGTTGAATACATAGAAACAGAGAGTAGAATAGTAGTTATCCGGGCATGGAGGAGGAAATGAGAAGTATGTCCAAAGATACAAACTTGCAGTGTTGTGGGATGAATAAGTCTGGAGTTCTAATGTATAGCATGAGGATGATAGTTAAAAATATATGTATACTGAAAATGCGCTAAGAGAATAGATTTTAGGTGCTTTTACCACACAAAAAATGAAAAGAAGGTGATGAACGTGTTTATTCACTTGAGTAATCATTCAACAATGTGTATGTGTAGAAAAACATCAGGTTTTACACCTTAAATATATACAATAAAAAATCTAGGCGCCAGTATCTCTGTGATTCTC